AAAAAAAAAAAAAAAAAAATCTACAAAATAAAGCCCAGGCTCCTCTTAAGGCCCTTCACAATCTAACAACATCCAAAATTTTTTAGTCTCATTTCTTACCATGCTCTTCTATCCATGTAATCCTACTACTCTAGTCTGTATTTCATAAACACAGCAAGCGCACTACAATTTCAGGCCTTTGTACTTGCTGTTCTTCTGGGAGTATTCTACAACCTAAATTTTCACACGACTGACTCCCCATCATTCAGGACTCACCTCAAAGGCCTTCATGCCTTTTTAAGTAACCGTCTGCTCTATCACATTCTAATATTACACTGTCTTATTGTCCCCATAGCATCTCTCACTGCCTGAAATGACCTTATTTCTTTGTTTGCTGTCAGTCTTCTCCACCAGATTGTAAGCTCCAGGATCCTGTCTTGGTCCCTATAGTAACACAACATGGCCTAGCACAATTCCTGGAAGAGTGCAAGTGTTCAATAAAAGCCTGCTGAGGGACTGAATTAATGACTGTACTATCACACTTCTGGGCCTTTATTTCCTCTATCTAGCATTCCCACGCTTACCTGTCACCTTCCAATCCTCCTGAAATCCTACTCATCAGTCAAGGCCTGATTCAAATTTTGCCTCCTCTATAGTGCCTTTCTAGCCCTCCCAAGCCAGACCAATCACTTTGTTCATACTCCCACACTAAATCACGAGCTAGTTGAGCTCCTTGTTCCAGACACCTTGTACTCTTAGTGACTCATGCAAATACCCAACAAATATCTGTTGAGACAATGAGACCTGGGCTTGTACTATAGGGTCTATCTTGAACAAGTTACTTAATTTCTCTAAGACTCAGTTTCCTTAATAATAGCAATGGGTAATCGTAGTCATTATTTCATAAGACTTCTGTAAATATTAAATGAAAAATGACTATAAAGCCATTAAAATAGTACCTAGTACACAGTACAGGTTAGCTATTAGTTTTACTACTATAATTACAAAAGATACATACCTAAGATTTCCATTATCTTGCAGAATCTGCATCAGGTTAAATTTAGGCTCTGGCTCCTGAGTCTCAGTTTTGCAGCATTGTTCACCTTTATTATTCCATTCAGGAATTTTCAAGGAATTTTCTTTGGGTGAATTTTCTACTGTAACAGTCAATGAGGGTGTATATTTGGCTTGATTTTCTCCAAAAGACTCTGCAGACTCCTCCTGGGAAGCTTCCTGTTCTTCATCGTCTAATGCAACTTCTTCTTCTTCTTCACTCTCTGTCTCAGTTTTAACATTCATTTCAGCTGGTTGGGTAATCACTAAATGCGAAGAATCACTAATGTTGCTGAAAAAAGGATTAAATTTTCCTCTCTCCCAAAACCTTCCTTTTATCTTTTTAGTAAAAACCCATTTCTAAATCAAACAACAAACAAGACACAAAATGAAAGGCAACCACATGTTACTCTCTAATCATATATTTTAAGAACCTATTAAGGGTCTTCATTAAATTTGTTATTTCTGGCCGGGTGCAGTGGCTCATGCCTGGGAGGCCAAGGTCACTCAAGGTCAGGACTTCGAGACCAGCCTGAGCAAGAGCGAGACCCCGTCTCTACTAAAAGCAGAAAGAAATTATCTGGACAACTAAAAATATATATACAGAAAAAATTAGCTGGGCATGGTGGCGCATGCCTGTAGTCCCAGATACTCGGGAGGTTGAGGCAGGAGGATCATTTGAGCCCAGGAGTTTGAGGTTGCTGAAAGCTAGGCTGACACCACGGCACTCTAGCCAAGGCAACAGAGCCAGATTCTGTCTCAAAAAAAAAAAAAAATTGTTATTTCTATTACTATCTAAATTTTTCTAACCATTTGTGTGGAAGTAATGCTCTCCTTTGGTTTTCTTCATCTAAGCAGAACCAGAGTAAAATATCTGATGCATCTATTAAAAAAGCATAAAGGCTGAAAATCACTTTCTACATACAACTCTCAAGAAATTAAAAAAAATATTTAAATAGACAGAATAAAATAATAAACAAAAGAGGAAAATTAATGACATAGAAAATAAATACATGATTGAGATAATCAACCAAGTCCAAGGAGACATCTTTGAAGTCACTAATAAAATACATAAGCCTCTGTTTGAAAAAAAGAGAAAAAACAAAAAATTACCAATCTAAGAAATGAAAAAAGATATATAAGTACAATTTCTGCAGGAATTTAAAAAGATATAAAGCCAATATCATGAACAAATACTTGCTAGTGAATTTGACAATATAAATTAAATGGACAATTTTCTTTAAAAGCAAAAGTTACCAATACTGATGCAAGAGAAAATAGAAAATCTGAATAGTCTTATAACCATCAAAATATTGGATCCATGATTAAAACCTTCACATACACACATTCCCCCTGCATAAAAAAAAATAAGTTTAGATGATTTGCTGTTGAACTTACTAAACTTTCATAAAAGAAATAACATCAAAGAGAATAGGAAAAAAAGAGAACATTTTCCACCTTGGTTTATGCATAATCTTGATAACAAAACCCAAAAGGAAATTTAAAGATAATAAAATGTAAGGCAATGACTCTCATAAACAATGTAATGATTCAAAACAAAATATTATCAAAATTATCAAGCAATGTATATAAAGACTTTAGAAATAGCAAATTGAAGATTGGTTTAACATTTAAAAATCAGCCAGTGTAATTCCCCATGATAGCAAAATAAGGTACAAAATCATGTAATCTTCTCAATGAATGCAGAAAGAGCATTTGATAAAATTTAATCCTTTTTTTTCTAAAGATGGGATCTCACTATGTTGCTCAGGCTGATCTCAAACTACCAGTTTCAAGCGATCCTCCTGCCTCTATCTCCCAACATGCTAGGATTATAGGGATGAGTCACAGCACCCAGACAAAATTTAACACCTTTTTATGATATAAAATATATACATTTTTTGTCAGCTAAGAGTAAGCTTTAAATTGCTTTAACTTAAGTTTGTCTATAAAAATATAGTACAGAGTATATTAATTGGTTTTAAATGTGGAAAATTTTTTCTCAGAGAGTAGGAATAAGGCAAGGACATCACTGCTACAATGTCTATTCATCATTGCCCTGAATATTACAGCTGGTGCAATGAGGCAAGAAGAAAGATAGAAAGCCTAGAATAGAAGAAATAAAACTATGTTGCTATTCACACATTGTCCCGACCCGCGGGGTAGTCAACGCGGACCCTGGAGGAGGGAGTGGGAATTGGGAGAGGCAGGAGACACAAGAAATGGAGAC